AGTTGTATAAAACCCCACAAAACCTGAAATTTAAGAATTGCTGTTTCAATAGTAGAGGACTGTCTTTTAGAAAAGCTTTGACTTCTTTGTACACACATTCATTTTTAGCTTCTGTTCTGTGTCTAAATTCCTGTTTAGAGAAGCATAATCCTGCTGGCATTTGATTTCACTGTTTACAGCAGTGCAAGATTTATCCAGTTCAAGTTTATTTGTATGTCACTGAGATGATGATGAAAGTTAACACCATGAAGGGAGGGGTGAATGTTTTTGCTTCTTTCTTTTCTGTGTTAGTCAGCATATTTTAGAAGAGCAGGATGAACATTCCTTTACTCTTTGTTCCAGGCTAAAATGTTGTCCTTTATTCATGGAGTTACTCAGAGTGCAAAAATGGGCTGAAGAATTAGAAGCAGTTGCTAGGAGTCAGCCACAGTTTAGAACTGTGGTAGCTTTCATTGGTTTATTTTCCTTATTTTGTAAAAAGAGAAGAGGAAGAATGATATAGTGAAAAAATGGTTGTGTAATTCTGTATGCTCACTTAAAATACTCTGTAATTAAGATGAAGAGCATTGTTTCACTAAAGAGTGCTCTCTTTTTAAAGTGTCTACATAGTGTGTGGTTTTTTCTGGGTGGAGGGGGATTTCCTAGTATATGCAGGTCTTGATTTCCTCCTGTTTTATGAGTAATTTGACAGGTGATACTTTCATTAGAAGGCTGGTTTTCAAATACTTGAACTGCTATTCTATAGTGACTCTGACAGAGTAAAAGCTTTGATGGGTGAGGAGGGGTTTAGAGGTGTCTGCCTAGCTGCTTTTATTCTTTGGGTATAGAGTGGGGACTCCTTTCTCAAATACCTGGGATTACAATGTTACCCTTCAGTACAAGTAACTAAACTAGGATTAGGATGTGTTGATCTCGATACTTCTCGTTCTTTTGTTAAGTAAAGAGGGTGCTCATCGTCCAAAATCTTTGAAATGTTTACTTTTTGATTTGTACAATTGGAATTTATTTCTTAACAGCTGATGTTCCCTGTTGTTCAGGTGGCAGGATGCAACACAAGACAAGAGGCTGCACTCAATAGAATTGTTTCTGTAGTTGAGACTCATTTTCATGCAATCACAACAACCTTGAGTACTGCCCTAGAAGTGGCAGGTATGCAGGTGCAGCTACAAGTGGGGCCTTGTTACGATGGGGGCTGCTTTTCATGTGCAGATTTTGTTGCCTAGTAGAAAAGAGAGAATCTCGAGAATCCCTCCTCACTGAGCCTTTTTTCTCACTGCTTTTATGAAAGTGCATGCAACCACATACCAAGGGTGTAGCAGGCATTTTATTTTGAGAACGGGAACTAAAATTTTCAGTGAGACAGATGTGCAGGAGGGGAGACTTCTGAGGAAACCTTGATTTTTTTTTCATAGTTTTGTTTTTCTCATCCTTTGGATTGTCAAGTAATCTCTGCTGTATTTTCGTAGGTAGAAAGCAGAAACCATATTATCATGGTTTTTAAAGCCCTTTCCCAAATATTATAAGAACTGATGCTGAAAACATCCTTTCACGTGCATTCTGCCAGGAGTATAAGTGTAAAGTAAAAGCCAGCATACACCTTGCTTTCTGATGGTTGAGCCTAGTACATCTTCTGTGGGTTCAGCTTCAGCCTTACCTGCTGCTGTTGCCTTGATGCTACTAGTCTGGTTGCTTTTCTGAGTGTATGCTTCTACTGTTCACTATGTGTTTAAATCTCTGCAGGCATTTTAGCTATCATGGCTGTTAATTTCCAACCAAGTGATTTTTAAGCAAGTGACTTTTAACCAAGGTATAACTAATCTGGGTTGGTATTTGCTTCTTTTGAGAATTTTGGATTTCATTCAAGCTTGTTCACCATAAGTTTGTTATCAGGCAGATGCTCAGAACTTGAATTTTTGTCCCAATACATTGCTGCAGCCTGGTGTCTGCTTTTCATCCTCTTGGTCTTCCTCCCTTGTCCCCCTTCTGGTGTCAGGATTTTGCTATTCTAGTAGAGATAACAAATTGATAAAATGCATAATGGGTCTGTCGTGCTTCTGTGCTCTAATCCTATCATACCACTTAGGATATGTCCCAAAGTTCTGTGGTTGTGTTTTTCAGAGCAGCCCTCCCCTTTGCCTCTCGCCCAAAAAAAAGACTGCTAAGCAAAGGCAGTAACATCACGTAGTGAGCAAGTATTTCATGCAGTCACAGGGGAAGTGAAGACAATGTCAGCTGTCAAATCTTATGACAGCTCTGTGGTTCTTGTAGGAAAGGAAGTTAAAAGCGAACTCAAGTCATGGGACAGTCATTGTTGCTTATTTGTGTAAATAGTAACCCCTGGAATATGGGGAAAAAAAAGATAAGATTTTTTTTTCTAACAGCATAAATATTTGTGGCACTGTGTCAGATGTCAGAAACCTTTAATAACAGTGCTGCGTCATGGACTGCAGATACTTGATTTCTGTCTATAGTACTGCAGCTCTTGAGGGCCTGGACGAAGTCTGGTGAATTCACCAGAAATGTCCCTTTTCATGTGAATGGTTGGGTCTAAAACCTGCTGGAGTGACTAGTGGTTCCATCTAGTGAGCTCTGCTCTTTTGTCTTTCCTTAATTCTTTGGTTTTTTTTATAATATCTCCTGTAGTCTTATGATAAAGCTGTTGTTACACTTATGCCTGACTATCTTTTTCCTTTCATGTTAGGCACAATTCAAAATAAACACTTGCTGACATGAAAATCATATAAACAGAATTCTGGTTGGATTTTCTCCAGAGCTGTCCTTCACAGTAGCCATGCTCACGGTGCTGGGTATGAAGAGACTCTAGGAGAAGCAAGCAACTAATTAGAGTCCTTTTGTTTCAAGGGGTTGTAAGTTCACAGTTAGCCCGTAGAAACAGGTGGAGTGGAATGTGTATGTCTCCTGCCCTCTCTCTTTTTTGTTTCACGGTCTCCCTGTGTCTTAGTGTTGCTGATGGTAATGTGAACTTAAGCTGTAAAATACTGTGGTCACTATGCAAAGTATGAAGTGGCCCGTGTGTCAAAAGTACTGAACTGTCAGTCAACGGTGAGTGTGATGCAGCATCCTGAAACATGCAGGTAAGGTAAAGAGTTTACCTACTGAAGTTCAGGTTAGCTCTCTGCTTTGTTCTGGTTTTGGCAGAATTGCAGTAGAGTGAGTTTGCTGGTTCTCCCTGAACACTTTATCGTTTAGCTTTTATGAGAGAAACATTTCTAGATGTCTTGAATACTGAAAATACTCTTGTTCTTCTAATTAACTCATAAACATGTTCTCTTAAGTGGCAGCACTGTGCCTGGTAGTTAAGTCAAGAATTAACCAAAGATTTTTTTATTTTTTGTTCATGCTGTTGTCAGGGTAAAATAATGTGGTTTGTTTTATGCAGGAGTAATTTCCTGGTGTGGGGAGAATGCATATTTGAAGGCTATTCCGTGGTTTTGCTTAATGGCCGTTGGGAGTACAGCCCTTTCTGTCCCTGATCAAGAACACTCGTCGGGAGGACACCTAGTGGGCAATCGCGGAGATGTAGGGAGGGTCGCTAAAAGATTGTGACAGTCCACAGGTACTTGGGAGGAGGAAGCACGGTGGGCTGGTTGTATAGAAATGCATTTCCTCCTCAAGGCAAGACCTGTGTGTGAAGTCTTCAGGAAGGCCAAACTTCCCAGACTTATCCTTTGAATCAAGTGAAGTGGGGCTCTGTCAACTGTAAACGCATCATGGCAATAGATCACAGCTGTCCAAAGCCAGTAAGAGTGTTTTTGTTCTTGAATCACTTGGGTCAGTTTCATCATTCGACAATTTTACAGTCACTGAAAATTAAAATCTTCAGATAACACTTACAGAATATTCAGTGTTTCATCTCTGACTGCAGCTAAGTGTTTGCTGGCCAAAGTTCCCACCACCATGGGAAAGGTGGTGTTTATACCAAGACTGACAGGTAAAGGAGCTCTGGAAGGGACAAAAAAAGGTAAGAGTGGTGGGGAGATAGCAGCTTACCTAAACTAATTCTTGCTGAGACAAAGTTTGGTTTGCCTTTGAGGCTGAAAATGGGTTGATAAGAGCAGACAAGTAAGAAAGGGGCATTCAGAACTGTATACAGTTTACCTGGGATTTCTGTTCTCTACTAATGAACTTCCACCCCTAAATACCTTTATTTGCCTGGCCATTCCTGTTTCCATCCCTTACTCTGCACTCTTTCAGTGTATGCCTCCCCTCCCTTCCTCTATGTAACACCCTTCTAGCCTTCTGGTTTCTTCTTGTCTTCTCCCTTTTCCAGTGTGGAAGGGGTATCATCTCTACTAGTCTGTTCTTATTTTCTTGTGTTCTTCCCCAGTAAACATTACCTTTTTGTTTGTTGCAAGTTCTTGAATGCAGTAGGAGTTGTCTGTCTTGCATCTTATATTCATCGGGGAGTTTTCTGCTGTAATTTCTGCAAGTCAAAGCTGTGGTTTGGTCCAGGACTATTATGGTTTCTCATAAATGTTTATTCAGTTCTGAATGTGAATACTCTCTGAAGAGTTGCTATAAAGTTTCTTTTTAAAAAGAAAACTTGAAAAGAGGGAAGGAAGGTATAGAAGGAAAGTGTCCAGTTGTGCTTTTAAGGCTTTATTTCAGTTAAAAGCCCAAGCCAAACAAACCCAAGAGAGCACACCTGTTCAAGCAGGCCTTATTTAAAGAGCTGAGAATTAGTAGGAGTGTATCTTGCCCCTTGCACCATAGCTGTTCTGCTTTAAATACCATTTCCCTGCCTTGCCTGCTGATTTATTTTTTTTAGTTCTGTAGTTGACTGGCATGCTCTTACAACTTTATTTACTGCTTATTGACTTGCAGAGTAGGACCAGCGTTGGCACTGCCAACACTTACAGACATCTGGAAAAACAAACGTGCATTCTGAATTTAAGATACTTCATTCTGGGCTTTTTTTTCCTCACTTGCTCTTATTTTTTTGATAATAAAATTATCATTACTCTCTCTCTATTTTGTAGTTTTGCCAATTTGAGAATTCACCCTCATGGATTAGTGTTGGTGGATCTGCAGAGCTACAATGATCATACAAAAGGAAGAGAAGAAGTCGATCAGGTATGTGATGCTTATCGTGCTAGGCTTATTGATGTGTATCTTACTAGGCTTGTCAATCTGCATGAGGAGGCCCTTCTTTTCTTCGCACTTGTCCAAGTATATCTTGGCAAAAGATTTGTAAATATCCAGGTTAGTTAAACCTGACTGCTTACAAATGAGAAGTAGTAACACTTATTTTAGAGACATACACTTGTGCGTGCATGCACACTCTCTCTTTTGCGTGTCCTGGGCCTCACGTTCTTTGATGTAAAAATTCTAGAGACATGGCACCCTTGGTTAAGACTTGGGTCTCTTCAGGTACCCAGAGCAGTGAGGAAGAAGTGATGCCTAACCTGCAACTTGGTGTATTAGTGTATGACTTTTTTTCCCCTCCGTAATTTGAGAGCATTTATATTGAAACTTTTCCCTCAGAAAAATAATTTCATCATCCCTGATATGAAAGCTCCAGAAGTTGGCCATTTCAGGGTAATAGGCCACTACTTTGGCAGGAATGAAACCTTACAGGGTTCTCGCGTTCCCTCTTTGGCTGTGCCTGAAAGGTCTGGCTGTGTTATCCAGGAGGACAGCTAAAAAGGCAGTGATGACAGCTGCTGCAATATGCACGTTCGTGCTAGTAAGGCTAAGCTAACTGACTAGTTACTCCTAGGCTTCTAATGTTATGTTTCAAGGCCTTCCAGTGTAGGTGCTACTTTTTACTGCCTTCCAGTTAGCTTAATTTAACAGATACTTTACATTAAGTGACCACCTTTAAATTCCATCTCTCTTGTGTACTATTTTTTCAGCTCCTTAACAAAGTAGAAGAAAGAATGAAAGAACTGTTTCATGGTAACATAAAAAGGGTGAAACGGTAAGTTTGTACGTCTCCTTCTGTATGTGGCTTGTCTGCATAGCTGCTAAACATAATAAGCAATTATTCTTAGCTATACTGCAATGAATAGCCTCGAGTATGGATTTACATGTTTGTTTCCCCAATATTTAAAAATTGTTTTATTGCAGAATTGAAGATACTGTGAGGCTTGTAATTTTGTTAAGCTTTATCTTCAATATTGTTATTTTGGGCAGAGATTATTCCTTTAATTTGCTGCATGAAATGGTGGGAGAAAACTCAACCAGGAAGCAAGAGCAGACTGCTGAAAGGGCTGGGGAGGCAAGGGGATAGGCCAGGGCATGAACCATACCCTCCAGGCCACGTCCCACAGCTCATGGGCAAGGTGAGCAGGGCTGGTTATGCTGACCAGGGTTAGTCCCAGCCCTTTGACTGCCAGACTGGACTGTAGTATTGAGGCAGCTCTTGTGACCAAGCTGGATGTTCAGGATTGGCAAAAGGCGTGGGCAGATGTGGGCAGAGCTGCCTTGTAGTTTGGGCAGGGACCAGTTGTGAGGGTTGAAGCTAAAATGAAGCTCAAGCCCATAGCGGACCCTGCCTGGAAAAGGTTTCCTGGAGCTCTTTCTCTCACACCTCTGCCCCTGCTACACCTTATACATGTCTGGCAAAAACCCCAGGGGAACCTTTGTGCTCAGGGCCCTGCTGCCAAGAAGATGGAGAAGTTTTGTAGCAAATCTCTTGTAATATAACTGGTAACTGAAGGAAGGGGCTTTGAAAGCCTTCTGTCACTTCAGTTTACTTAAATACAAAGTTATTTATTAAACTATAGGGATTCTAATTGTGGTTTGTTACCTGCTGCTGAAACAGCTTTTATGCTGGAGTACCCCAGGGATCTGGAGTGACACAACCCATGTTGTTGTCTTCCTGGCAGCAAGTGGCACCTTGAACCCAGGGAGTACTTCAGGCATGTGCTTGCTGGAAGGTTCAAGAGGTGCTTTAAAAAACATAGTCAAAAGTGGGGATGGTTTAAGAAAAGTAGAAAGCAGTTTAAAGTCAAATAGATTCAGTAAAGCTAAGGAGCAAACTACACAACAGGAAAAAACTAAAAGTTCTATAGCAGAAAGTAATCTGGAGGCTATACAAGACTAAGTGAGGTGGTAGTGATTTGGAATGTAATGTGTGAAGATTTTGTGTGTCTTAACAGTTGTAGGTGAAACAGGTAGTTATCTTGCTTTACTTTGTCCTGGTAAAGCCTCACCTGGTGCACAGTGTGCAAATATAGATAATATTGTGTATGTGTATATGGGGGAGAAGCTCGCCTTGAGGATAACTTAGTACTGAAATACAGTATTGGGAGCTTGAGGAATCCCTATGATAGGAGCTTGTTAAAAACGGGTCAGGAAAAAGTCTGCCTGAAGTGATCTTGAAAAATTTGGTTACTTAGTCTAGAAAGATGAACCTCTTAGATCAATGGATCTGCATGGATCTTGTCACACAGCCTCAGCTTATTGGATATTTTTTGTTTTTAAGCGTGGTTTGCACCCTTCCTGGTGTTGGCTTCCCACGTGCAGCTCCGCTGGGATTGCTGCTGCTGGCAGAGCTGTCCGAGCCGTTTCGCTGTCCTGGCGTGGTGCGGGGCTCCTCTGCCGCTCCCCTCTGCTGCCATCTGGCGGCTCTCTGAGGGTGGAAAGCTTCAGAAATGTTTACTGAGCGTCGTTGGGGAGCTGAGGGAGAATCTCGTCTGTGTCTGGTCATCTGCTACACTCCTATGGAAGAAAGCCCAACACCTTAACTGTGAAATGTGTGTGTGGAATCTAAACTCTGTGCCTGCACATTTTGCTTAAAGTGGAATGCAATCATTCTGATCATTCACTGCCATTGCAAATATAGTTTGTTTTTACGGGTGAAATACAGGTCGGAACCAAGATACTTCTCTATGGAATTCCAAACCAACTATCTCCCCAGCCCCCTACTCCCAGAAAGCCCAAACCACCAAAAAACAAACAACAAACCCAGAAACAATCTAAGCAGATGTTTGAAACTGATGCAGAGTTGATGGCAAGGTTTATGCTTATAATACTGCAGGATGACCTGGCTCAGTTTGAAACACTATAATAGTTCACTTTTTCTGTTTGAATATGTATTTTAAATGTCTCACTACAACTTTGGAAGAGTGAGATCTTCTAATCTCAAAGAAATGGCCTTCTTGGCTGAGCTGAAGGTGGAAAGAGATTTTTATCATGGCATTTTGGCTGTACTCTGCTCTTCTGTTGTGACCACTTCTAGTTATGAGCCAATTCTGCAGAGGCTGGTGTGTTATGTAAATTTCCTCTGAAGGTAGAGATTCTCACACAAGTTGTAGAAGTGGTACATTAAAAAGAACCATTTATATTTTCTTTGCCTTTGCAAGTTGTGTATATTTAACATGCAGCTCATGGGTTTCTTATATCTGAGTGTTAAATCTTGCAAGCTTTCTTAGATCTCTTTTGTAAATATTTATTATGGTGAATCCACAGGATGTTTAGAGGGCACTTCTAAAAAAAAAAAAAATTTAAAAAATATTTTGTAATTTATTATTTTGTTTATTTCTAGATTGCCAGCCATTTTGAGAGGAGGTGTCATTGATAGATACTGGCCCACAGCTGATGGACGCCTGGTGGAGTACGACATAGATGAAGTTGTTTATGATGAAGATTCACCTTTTCAGAATATTAAAATTCTGCATTCAAAACAGTTTGGGAATATTCTTATCCTCAGTGGTGATGTTAGTAAGTGTCATCTCATTTGAAGGTCTTTTGCATGAAATCATAGGAAATGTTGTCTTGCGATGTCACAATTTTAATAGATTACTAGAGGTCACAGTTATGATGCTGAAAGCTACTTATATGCATGTACACATGTATCTGTTCCTGCATATGAAGTACTTCAATCAGACAGGCAGACCAGTGTACAATCTAGAGTAAATAAGTCTTTTTCTGAAGTCATCTTGCTGTGAAAAGTGGCACAGGAGATTAGAAGTCAGTGTTGTATACCAGAGCTTACTCTGCTGCTTTCATTTGAGCTTTTACCCGTTTGTTTCATGTCCAAACTCATGAGGACTTCTCTTTTATGGCAAAACAAGCTGCTTTGTTGGTCTTTAAAACACAGTGGAATTCTAAAGATATATAAAGAAATAGGTGCTGTGGTGTGGGTGTGGACAATCCTGCTGCTCCCTGGAATTCTGTTAAGGGAATTATCTGCTTGGTGAGACACAGGACAGCTGTATAAAACCGTTTAGCTGCTTTGTTGGTGGACATCTTTTGAACCTGTCTTCTCCGGAATTTTCAGTTAAACTGAAAAGTTAGTCAGAAGAGTGACCCAGCTTTTTATGGGGAGGGTCTTTTTATTGGTACTCTGTACCTGCTGATCATTGTATTTTTGAAAGTAAACTTGGAATAAGGTGGGTTAGTGTTCCTTTAAACTGTTCCTCCCAGCTGTTTGCTGGAAAATCTAGGCATCAAGAATTATGCTTTATGGAGTCTCTCAGTACTTAGGTTGAAAAGAACTGACTGAGGTAAATGACAGATGTTGCTGTCCTAGGGATAGAATACCTAATTTCAGTCTAATGGCATAGTAATGAAGAAATTTGACTATAGCATTTTGAAATCACCAGAAATAACTCTAACCATTCAGTCAGCTTTCTGCAGCTGTCAGGGGGACTTGGGTGCAGATGGCAGCTAAAAAGTGTTGTTATTGAATTCATTAGCAAGGTATTTTCTAATTCAGTTAGAATTATATTGGAAATCATCAAATTAGGTATTCCACCCCTCTAGCCAGAAATTTTCATCAGTTTCATATGGAGATGAGGTTTTGTTTGAAAGTTGTCACAGTGTGCCTCAAAGGGGAGTATGTCATGACTCATTTACCTTCCATGGGATTTTAAAGTACTGCTTTGTGGAGTTTTGTTATCATGCACTTATAAGCAAAGTGCTGATTGCCAGGCAGAATGATGGGGTATGTCATGCTGTGCTGCTGCACAAAGCTCTGCCCTTGTAGCTCACATATGTTACTAAAGCTTAGGAATGTTGCTGCATGCTTTGTAGGTAATGGTGGCCAAGTCAGCAGAAGGCATGCTTCAGAGCTCTTCAGCAGTTAGGTGTTAAGTCATACTTGTGTTCCTGTGCAGGGATCTCCTGGGGGTATCTTAAGTTGCTGTTTTTAGGTGGTCCAGAGTGTGCTTTCACAAATGTGATTTGTCTCTTGCAGCACTAGTCTGAAGTAAAAACCCACTGAAGTGTGGATGTCAAGTCATAAGTACTGACAGTTTTGCTCTACAACTCTGCTTTTCTTGGCACGCAGTACCTCCTAATGCTGAGGTAGACACTGCTGGGTTTGCACTGGGAACTAGAGAAATCCTGTGTGGGATTCTGAGGAGGATTTCATTAGCTTTGGTAAATCACCAGCCTCCCATTACCTGGACTTGTTTGTGAGCGAAGTTGTTTCTGTAGATGCTCTTGCTTTGGTCTGTTTTTATCACCTTTGGATTCATACACCTTGAATTCTTCTCATTAATTGGTAATGTTCCTGTCCAGCTCTTTCTCTTCCTTCCTTTCAGATCTTGCAGAGAGTGACCTGGCATATACCCAAGCCATAATGGGCAGTGGAAAGGAAGACTACACTGGGAAAGAAGTGCTAATCCTTGGAGGTGGTGATGGAGGTATATTATATGAGATAGTCAAACTGAAGCCAAAGATGGTTACTATGGTAGAGATATCCTTGGACAAGTGACTGATCATTCATTCCAGTATTTTTCAGCCTGCATTTTCTGATGTCTTAGCATTGAGCACAATTAACTCACATTGTAATTCAAGGAGATAGGGTCTAATATGAAATCTTTCTGTCAGCTAAGAGAGACCCAATGACTATTTGTGCATTACTATGTAGGACATGCTTTCAAGTTCCCAAGCCGTACTATAACTCATAAACAGCAACTTACATCGAACTGGAAAGGAGCAGTTCTGTCATAAGACTGGTATCTTCTTTGATAACAGAAGACAGGCCTGTCAAATTTGTGGTTTGGACTGAGTTCTACCTTCTTGGGTTCTTCAGTTTTTCTAAAGAAAGCCATTTAAAAAAAAAAACACAAAAACTGTAACCAAAATAAAGTTTGATCAATAGGAATGTCAGGAGCTGGTGAATTGTGTTAGTGGCAGAATGACCAACTCTTGTGCCCTGTATTAAAAATACTGATACAAACCAAGTTTTCAGTAGTCTGTAGTTCAAATATTTTGTAATGTACACTATTGTTAGTCATATGAAATGTTGATTTTTCCCTTTTTTTTTTTTTGGGGTACCCCTTCTAGAAATTAAAAATAATCTTAAAAATGTAGGTTAAAGTGATAACCTAGTTCAGCTTTTTGGGTTTTTTAAACACCACCCTGTTGTTCACATCTCAGGCTTTCACAGTAATGGTAACCTAAGGTACCAGAAATACTCATTAAAAAAAAAAAAAGGCACTTCCTAAATCTGGAGGCAAATACACGAGGTTGGCTATTGCAATATGTATACCAGGATACACATCTTACTATTCTTTTGTGACTGTCACCTTTTGGGGGATTTTTTTTTCTGAAGAAGTAGAAACTGTCACCTGTGTTATTTCTGGAATGTAAAATGCCTTAACCAGCTTCCAACATTGACCAAATGGTGATTGACGGGTGTAAAAAACACATGCGGAAAACATGCGGAGATGTCTTAGACAATCTGAAAGGAGAGTGCTATCAGGTAACTTTTGTTTTCTTTCATCAGAAATATTTCAGATACACTTATACCTAACTTGAAGGACTGCTATGGCAAAGCTGGGGAAAAGTCATCTTATTTTTCTTAATTTTGGGAAGGATTTTTTCCTTTTTTATGACACATCTGTATTTTAGTAGCTGGTAGTGGGAATTATGTTGGAAATATACATTAGTGTCAAAATATTCTAACGCTCCATCTCAAAACCCTCTTAAAAATAATGATATATATCTTTTAATCTGAAATAGGAGAATGTTTATTGCCATAGCTTACAAATGAAGACAAAATAGCCGTAAGGATGCAGTGTTAAACATCATTCCTTAAATTGATGAAAACCTGGAAGAAGCATATCTAAGATAGTTGTCCTGTACTGTTGAGAACATTTGAATTTGTAATGCACATTTAAGAATGTGTTTTTCATTTGCAGGCAGAATCTTCTATTACACTGCAAGTATATTAAAACCAAACCAAAACCCAAACCAAAAAACAAAACCCACGCTTAAAATTCATGCATCCCTGCAGTTAAGGTCCTTATGTGCTGCATCTGACAGAGTTTACAAACTAGCCCAGCTATAATCTGACATCTCTAACAGAAATCTTCTTTCTGCTCCTTAAGACTCTCACAGATACTAGTTTACAGGTGTGAGCTAGAAAAAGCATGCAAAAAATCGTCAGGTCATGTCCTGCTTTGCATGAACCAGTGAACCTTCACATAAATACCTTATTTTACATGTATGTTGGGGGACTGCTAACTGTTGTTATCATTTGGTAGGTGGAACAGGGGTCATCTAGCAATCAGTGACAGAGCTAGGAAGTTCAGTCCTGTGGTGCCTATGTTGCTATGTTGTCATTCTCAATTCCTACAACTGCTCCTCCTTTTTATATGATGTAAAAAATTAAAAATGGAGTCTAAAATTAAATACATGTTTACTGGTGTACTTTTCCCATCCTCTTAATTTCTGTGTGTCTCTGTTTGTTCCTTTTACCTGGTCAGTTTTAGGATTTTTTGAGGACTAGCTACAGTATTTCATTCTTACAGGTTCTAATTGAAGACTGTATTCCTGTGCTGAAGAGGTATGCCAAAGAAGGAAGGATGTTTGATTATGTAATTAATGATCTGACGGCTGTTCCAATCTCCACATCTCCAGAAGAAGGTTAATCTTCTAATTTTACTAAATTTCTGAGGATGTTCCACATTTCTGCCCCTCTGCTGCATAGTAGCTGGCAGTTTGGAAGAAATGTAATAGTGATTCTTGCCCTTCAATAGCAAATGTAGAGGCAAAGAGTGAGAGTAACACATTGGTTATTTTTTAAATTTTTCTTGAATGTTAGAGGGAATTGGCAGGTGCCTAGGACTTCTTTAAACTGTACTCTTATTCCAGAATAATAGTTTCTCAATTACATGCGTTCATATCTGGGGAATTCACACTACAGTAAATTTTCCCCACTCTATAATTTTTGGAAATGTCTGGAAAAATTCTTTGAAGAAAGAGATACTTCTACCGTCATTGCCATTGTGTATAGGTTGTGTGGGGTTTTACTGTTCATTTTTTTTAATGCTGTTTAATGCTTGGTTGGAGTTTTTTAAAGCTATAGAATAGCTACTTTTTAAACAGTAAATATGCTACGAGTCTTGAATATATACTAGTGATGTTCTGTTTCTAAATCATACTCTATATGCAGATTCCACATGGGAATTTCTGCGATTGATTCTTGACCTCTCAATGAAAGTCCTGAAACAAGATGGAAAATATTTTACACAGGTATGGTAAAATAACAGGCTGTAAAAAAATTGCTGTTTATATTTCAATCTTCATTTTTCAGGTTTAAAAAAAAGGGACAAGCCCAAGCAAATTAACTTCTAAAAAAAAAAAAAAATCTACTTGCAGGCTGGTTTTTCTACTTTTACTGACTCATTAGGGGTTTCTGGATGAAATTTGGGCTTTGTGAACGGAGTTATCCTTTTTTATTTCAGCTGAACTTGTAGCCTTTGTCTTTGAATTTTAAAGCATAATTTCAGGAATCATCTAGGCATACTACAGGATATTTTATCTGTAAACAATTCTTGGAAAAGCAGAACAAATCTACTTTATAAACAGATGCATGGTTTTTGAGCTAATGTAGAGTGTAAGACATGAAATCTGTCATCCATAAAGGCATAAGAATTTGACATAGATTAAAAGGAATGTGAAAACTTTTTTTGCTTGTTATCCACTCCTAATTCAAGTATAGCCACCTCATGGATAATACAATTGTGGTATAGCTTTCGTCTGAAGATACTTTATGTAATCCTGAACTTGGGATGTCAAAAAGATACATGAAATTGTACAAGAATGTGCCAAGACTGTGCAGGTGGCTGAGTGAAGCATAAGTCTCTGAAATTTGTATTTCTTTTGTCATGCCTATACCTTAACTAGTTTACTGGTGTGTGGAACATTTAAGAACAGCACTTAGAAATAATCTTGTTAAGCTCTGAAATAAACTGGCTGACATTATGCATTTGAACTGGGTTCCTGTCAGCATAGAGCTTCTGAGGTGTGTAAAGGAACCTGGTTTACTGTAAAATTGGATGGGTTTCTAAAGAAATGCAAACCTTACAGAATGAGTTTTTTTTGACAACTTTAATGTGCTGCTTTATTTTAAAATGCTGTGGTTGCTTGGGCAAGACAAATTATCTTATGGTTGAAATGTAAACAGCAGTGTAAATCTTAATGGCTTTTCTATTCTGTTAATTGTGGAAATATTTATGATAGACTTTGGTATGGAAAGAGTACTACATCTTTAGGGTGAAGTAAGCATTTGTGTTGCAGTTGCCACACTTGAACACAGTGAGATTAGCTGACTTTGAGAATGTATGGAAACATGTCTGTGGACAGGTATCTGTCAGACTTTGCAGGAGAACTCTGGAAGTAAGTGATGTGGAAAGCTGGAGTGATGACTGTGCCACAGCCAGGGTGCAGGGGGGTTGTTTTGTGTCAGCCAAAACCAACAGAGGTTGAGACTGGTGCAGACCGGCTGCCTGTCTTGGCCTGATGGGAGGAGACAACTCAGCTTGCCAGGGTTTCAACTTGCTCAGAAAGAAAAGACAGCAGTACTGATCTGTTCCTGGTGAGTTTTACCTGTTGTGAAAATGCAATAGCAGTTTCCAAAGTAAGGTGGTACATAGCACAGTGGGAAATTAACAATATTCAAAATGGGGCTAACTGGTAGCCAGTGAAAGGTCTGGAGTATAAAAGCAGTGTACTCTGGCACCTTAGCTTTCCATTTTTCAACACCCTCAGGAATACTAATATTTGGACAAACAGCTATCAGATCTTTTGATTTACCTACTGATAAACTACCTAGCCCATCTGATGGTCCTTGTAGCTTCTTCCCAGTTGGACCTGATTTTAAACCAAAACCAAACAGAGAAACCCTCAGAAAACCCAGTAGTCTGATTGTAAGAACAACTGACTTTTAGGGGAGCTTTAAATAAAGTCAAGTCCTAATAACTTCTTTAAAATTAAGTTTTGAATTAAACTAATTGAAGCTGGACATCCAAAGGATTGGGTTAGACTATGGAGAGAAGTTCAAACATGGCCATTACTGATTTTGGTAGCTGAGCTTAGTCACACTAAGAACTAATAAATGGTTTTGAATGCTCTAGTGTGTTAGCTGTTAAATGCATGAGATTTTTAGCTCTGTGTACTGACTTGGGTAATGTAAAGTTACTTTTGTTCCAGCTGTCTACTTCCAGGCTCTTAGGTAGCAGGCTGTACTTTATTTGCTGGAGGAATTGTTTGCCTTTTAAGGGGATTGTGGTTTTAAAATCCAGGCCTTTTGTGCCTTCCCCTTCCACGCTTTCTTGGAAGTGTGTTTTGATTCTCTAAAACATAAAATATGTTAAATATCATCCAGAAAAGCAACTTGGGAAATGTTCCATCTATTTGTTAGAGCCTCACCTTTGCTATGATGAGGAAACGTCTCAGAGGAGACACGCTGCAGACGAGTCATTGTCCTGTTGGCCAGGCAGTAAACTTCTGTCTCCTGCAGTCTGTAGCATATCCTCTGATAGTTCTGCTTGCAGGAGTTACCTTGTGCATTCTGTTAGAATCTCATTTGTTTCAGTGCTCAAGAACTGCTTTACCCAAAAGTGGAATTCTGTTCCCAGAATGCCAGCCTTTCATATAATGTATTGCTGCCTGACTCTAAATGCCACTGCTGGGAAAAATAAATGGAAATGCTCATCACTTCTTCACTGAACTCTGCACAGGTTCTGGAAAGTGTTCTCTTCAGCTCGTGAATTGTCAGCAGGCATCCTCGAGAGCTGTCTAACTCAATAGGTATAATTTATCTGAGATTATCAAAAGAAATTTCTTTGGGCGTGCTACTGTAGCGCATCAGGTTGTTCCCTTGGGACGCTGAGGGCAGCCTCCAGATGCGACTGCAGAATATCCCTTCACCACCAGGTGGAGACGGATAACTGACATTGCCTGGTGGTTGTGTGACTCTTACAGAGATCCTGCCTCCAAAAGGATTCTTTCAGACTACTTGATTTCCTAGGGGATACAAGACCGTATGTGGCCAATTTTTGGATGAAAGAGGGTATTTTTTTTTTGCTTATTTCAGCTCTGGAAAGATAGAAAGGGCAGTTTATGAATTTCATTCCCTTCTGCTGTAAGTCTGTGCTTAAGTATTTTGGGGAGGAAAATTGCCTCAATACTTACTCTATGCATCCACAAATAGTAATCATAACGAGAACAAAAACTTCCTTTGTATGAGTAGGAGCCCTGCTTTTTGTGTCCTTGCTATTTTAGTTGCATCATCCATATTGAGAGTCTTGTAGCCTACATAGGACCTGGACAGAGAAGTGAGCTTCAGGGCCCTTAGCCTGCAGAATTTGTGGCCCTTGATGTAAGTTGAAGACTTATGGTTTAACATAATCACACTACTCTGATGTTTAAGGGTCATATGATTTGCTGTATTTCTGTTCTTCCTTCTACAGTCTTTAGACATCAGACTTCTTTCTGATGTGAAGTGCCAGGGTTAAACTCCCAGCCCTGAATGAGAGTTGCCATATGGATGATGCCCACAACCAGGACCCTCCTGACTGGTTTTCACCCAGGGTCTGGCCAGCTTTGAGTGGGAACAATTAGGAGATCACCACCGGGTACCCCTGCCTTCCACATTACTTTGGAGGTGTGGCAGGAAGCCACCTCTATAAGAACTGACTCTACTGGTGGTGCAGTTGGGGTGATGTGCCCACACAGTACCTGTGGGGTTCTGTCTATTGATAGGGATCCTCAACTCTTCATAGCAAGTAGAGCTCCCAGGATGGTGGGCCAAGATGATTGGACTGATCACCTGGGTCCTGCAATCTCCCACAGCATGGTTCTGGAGTCAGCTCACTCCCTTCTGCACACCCTGTATTGTGAGTGACTATATTGACTGATTCCTCCCTCCTGTGGTCTGGCATGTTGGATTGTTGGCCTGTGACTTAAGAGTGGAGGGAGGACTTTGGCTGCTGGTTTCCCTGTTGATGCAAACCTTGTCCTTCTTTGTCAAGCAAGTGGTCAGCAGAAGATGTAGTATGGATCTAGGTTTGTGAGGTGCTTGGTGTTGCCTTCTCCAAGGGTATCCAGTTACAGGTGCAGATTCCAAACTATCACAGGGGAGGAAAGTGTGGGTCAGTGAGGGTGACTTAGCATGCACCCCAGTCTAGTTCTATCTCTAAAGGACTTTCACAGTGGCTTGTTTCTGAACACATTAAGTGCTTATATGCTAAAATCCACTATGACTTGTACATTGACCAAGTGATTTTTTTTTTCCTGACTTTAGTGGAATATGTACACTTGTAGATAGTTGTGTGATGTATTTGTGGGATTTTTTTTTTTGTGAACCATCACACTTTGCAAGTAGCACATGAGGATTGTCCCAACAGCAGTGAAACTGCTTTGTAAGATGCACAGACTTATTTGAAGATTGTCTGTCAGTGGATTATGGGTAGCTAGGAAAATACCTTTTTCTGTGCTAAGTTTTTGCTCTGATGACCTAATCCTTTGAGGTTGAGCATGCTATCATTTTCAGTCTGTTTATGAAGTAGAACCTTTAAAAATACCTCTGAACAGGAATTTGTTCCTTCCTTGTCTGGGTCATCCAACCCAGGCAGGATAGAAACAGACTTGGACTGCTCATGGGTTTGGGTTCCAGTATAAACAGCACTAACGACTGGTGCAAGGGGTCAGATGTCTCCCACGCACACACGCAGCCCGTCAAGCTGTTGCTTCCTGGCCACTCTCACAATACAGCCTGGCCCTACCCTCTAAATGTCCAGACCACTGTGATGGTGCTCCATAGTTACACTACTTTTTTTGGCTGCTGTGTGGGTTTTCTAATTATCACTTCCAAACAGGGAGTAGGATTCTCCTTGACAGCAACATGAGAGGAGGCTGGCAAAACAGATGCATGTATCTCTGTGAGCCTGTGTTTTGGACATTTGGGGGTCTTTAAAGGACATACATTTAATTTGTGTGTTTCTGACAGTTCAGTTTCAAATTGATTGTTTGGCGGTAGAGAACTTCAGTCGGGTTTGCTTTCCATTAGCTCCTTGAAAGCCATCCGTGTTGACTAAAACTCTAACCTAGCTTTGCTAAGTTTATCTCATGCTCTTATGTAGCTTGTTGCTTCTTAGTCACCCTGAACTGAGGAAAGAGGAGGAAAAACAAGCAAACAAACAAAAAAACAAAAAACCAACCTTTGCGATGTTCAACTCTGACACTTGTCATTACAAAATAAAAATAGAAACCCATGTTAAATTAAAAGTAAAAAAGCTTCTAGTATACTGTCACAGACAGGGATACCCAGTAGGAATGATGTTTGAAATGAGCAGTTACGGAAGGGGACCCTTCCATCTGCTTTCAAGTCATTCACTTTGTAAGGTTGGAGAAACACCGGTGGCCTAATAGGCCACTTGACACACACATCCCCTGTATAGGTGGGCAGAGTTAACTGGAACTTGCAACCAAACTATGTTTATAAGTACTTAAAAGTATACTTCCATGTCAGGGATGCTTGTTAAGGAGAAAAATGTTTTTCAATATTTCCCCATTTCTTATGGAACAAAGATTAAGAGAGACCAAGCAGAGGATATTGGTAGAGTTTTTGTGTGTGGTGAAAATTGTCTGAACAGTGTAGGAGAAAAAAAGTCTTATTTTGCCTATTTCCCTTTAAAAAAGTATAATTGAGTTATCAGCTTTAAAGCTTATTAAACGCAGTTCAATATTTAGTTTTTGTTTGAGAATATGGTGGCTGTTCAGAACAAAAAAATTTATTGCTCTACCACATAACTGTTGTTGTTAGATGCGGGCAGTTAAAAAGAACACAGGTTATTAGGCTGATCACTGTATTGTATTCTGGGGTTGGTTCCCTGTGTCGTGTATTAGTGATTCAAGAACATCGAAGTGTGATTGAGGTAGTTACCAGCACTATAGTTTTAGCTGATACAGCTGTTCATTTCTTACAGAAAAGTGCTAATAGTGATTTTTCAATAACTATTTTATTAATATAAGCTCATCTCTTCTGTAGACTTTATTTTTTTAATTCTTAGCTTTTTGTTGAGTAAAGCCAAATAATTACCAAAAAAGGTAACTGTGCAGAACTATAAAATGTTGTGGTGTGTCTCTAGAAGGAGAGGTTAATAGAACAGCTAGGTGAGATGTCTGAACCTTTAGGTAAGATCTTGATTTGGAGACTGGGGAGTTGTGGGGTTTGAAAACTAAGAACGGTTTGTTGGCATGTTTCATTGTTCCTATAATTGGTTTTCCACACTGTCTGCAGTGATTTGTCTGTTGCTGTAGAAGGGAGAAAGGATGGAATGCTGGAGCAACAGGCCAGGAAACTGTGGATACTTTTAACTCATTGTGTATCCTATTAAACTTCCTCCGTAATAGTGGTGTACTTCATAAATTACCTAGTAGCATGGTCTATTTATGTCTTAAATTATACACACAGGTTGATTTTTGGTTTTCTTTTGCATTCAGTCTGATGTTGAAACAAAATTATATGTTTGGTGAAGAGTGGCTGAACCAAATAACTGCTGCAGTCCCCTGGATAATAACAGGTTACCAAACGAGTACTACAGCATTATGTTCATTGTTGTGCTTTGTGCAGTTGTGCTCAGTGTTCATGTCTTACCTTTATACAAACCTCTTCTTTTTCTGATATACCAGAACCAAACATGATATATTCAATATAAAGCACACCATCTTCCTTTACTAAATAAACAGGTACACATTTGTTTGTGGAATATGATCAAAAGGATAATCAAAGACATTTTACGAAAGTTCTTCTGAAAGCTTTCAAGAATGATTTTTTTTGAACGATGCTGTGATTAGGATTTTCTAAGTTCAACTTCTGTTTTCCAGTTGTGAAAACTTGGAACACGATCTAAAAATTTATTTAGCATGATGCAAAAAAAAAAAATCAGAGGAGGAACAGTAGGATGAAGTCTCTTCATTTCCTCTGGAAATAGAAATGTTTTAAATACATTGTGGAAAAAAATTTATACCAATAAAAAAAGTACCAAAAAAAAGTTGGAATCACAAGTCAGCATGTGTGTTATACACTTTGTTTCTACTTATCTGATGTCTTTACATGGAAAAAGCAGTATAGGTGGAACTGTTTAGACATAGTGATTTCAAATAAGATCTCTGCCTGTGTTCTGTTCTTTTTAAGAGCACAGTACTGGTCAAACTCATCTTAGTTCCTTGCTTTGAGGAAAAAAAAATTCAGTTACATCTGTGTGCACTTAATTATTTTAAGGCCATTTAAAAAAATCTGGGAGCACTGAAAAGCAGAAGTTAAATAGTAAACTGCAGTTTTATTAAACAGTGTTCTCTTGGAATTAAAAGCTTCACAATGTTAGCAGAGCAATGCACACGTGTGAAACATAGTGAGACGTTTTGGAAGTGTTGAGTAAATCCTTTGTTCCTAGGATCCTATAGAACTTGACCTTCATTTCAAGTTAGAGGTCTTTAAAATGTTGAATAAGCTGTGACTGCAAGAGAGCTGTAGTTTTTCATTAGATCTAGCTCTGTTTTCTTAGTTGAATTGCTTAATTTCTTTCACAGTCCTTTTGTGGGACTTTGGCTCATACCCTAGGATACTAGGAACTGTATACTTTTAATATGAAAGATCCCTGTTTGGTTGGAGTTTTGTCTTCTGTGTTTTCCTCCACTGAAAGTGGTAAAATGTGTGGGAATACTGAGGATTTTATGTTGAAAGTAACTGGATAAATGCTATTTAATGCTTTTGTTTCTACAGATTAGGCTTTGTGCTAGGTCACAGTAAAAGTAATTATACTATAGGCTAGTAAACCAAACCATTAAGGAAGGATGGGGACACATGTCTCCTCAAGACGTCTTGTCCTGCCCCACACATGACCAGATAGAATGTATCCTTAAAGACTGAAAAAGAATGAGGAGTGTGTATTAGACCAAGCAAGCCAAGATTGCTTGGAGATCATGAACTCCTGTGCAAGAAGGCTGTGATAGTTTAAACACCATCTATATATATGCACATGCTGCGTGGTCAGGGTAGGTTTGTTGTCATCATAACTTGCTGTTCATGTGTAAGGTGCAGCGTTGTTTGGCATCATATTTGGGGTCTAAATGTTAAGCTGAAGCCTCCTCATGGCAATGATGGAGGTAGAAGACCACAAGTAATTCATCTGACCATTAGTGTGCCAAAGATCATCTTCTCTTGGCCAGAATCACAGAATATCTTGCCACTGTGCTTGGTGGGTATTTATTCAGTGTCTTGTACCTGGAAAACAAAAAGCTGAGTAATTTGTAGACCATGCAGTGGTGGCTGTATTAAAATTTATGCCATTTTAAATTAGAGCCCAAATAACTTGCACTGGCCACAGTCTTCTTAAGGTCGTAAAGTATCAGCTAGTCTATTCAGTCATATAGGCAATGAAAGGCAGGACACTTGAAAAGAATTTTGTTTTTGTTTTTTTTTAAAGTTGCACAACTTTATTGCTTTGGACAGCTTGTGTTTCTTCAGTCTGTTCTGTGGGCTCACTTATTGCTAAATCTTCAAGCCCATTATGGATCATCACTTTTCTATTTAGAGCTTTTTCTTTATAGGCATCCTAGGTATATATTGCAGTAACTTCTGCTTGTTAATACTTAGCTTTGCTCAAGATTGTTCTTGTAATTAGGAGCTGTTTCGTGGTTTTGGTTTTATTTTTTTTAATTCCTCCTCACTTGTGATCCTTAAGATGTCTTTGTATTCCAAGAATGATTAATTTGTGTAATATTTGTTCGAGAAGGAATGCTGCGAACTCAATGTGTCTGATATTTCATAATTTGCGCTGTTAGAGGAAAAATTTTTTTTGTTTTGTTCAGAAAAGGATACTACTTATATTCTTTGAGATAAGACATAGGTCCAAGAAAAAATTATCATAGGAATTGCTTCCTTTTCAGAAGCATGATACACACTTAACACAATGTAGCCTGCAGCCACAGAACTTCTGTGTCATCTGGTTTATTTTGTCGTATTGCTCCATGGAAAATCTGTCTAAAATTAGTAGGTTATAGGGCTTTTTATAGTGCATTCAAACATTATAAGACCAAGGCAATGTTAAATAATTGAGAAAATCTGGATGTTGTAGTACTGTTTACTAATATATTTAAGGAATCATAAAGAAAATGGTTATTGAGTAGATGTTATAGATAAACAACACATGGTGGTCTGTTTTAACTGGAAGCCCTAATGTAATGATTGTTTCAGCTAATGAGAAGATAGATAATCCCCCTGTACTTACCCTTTCTTGAAAAGATGTAAATTGTTGTTTGCTGTAGGCAGAATGCAGACAAGCTGTTCAGTATTTGCCTGGTAAATATTAAATATTAAGAACAGCATGAATCTGGTTCTCAAGTATTGTGGGAACCATGCATTAATGTCAAAATGTATATATCCATCTGCAGTTTTGCTTATGTGTGTGACCGTAACTGGGACTTTTCTTCTTTTCTGCAGGGAAATTGTATCAACCTGACCGATGCCTTGACCCTGTATGAAGAACAGCTTAGCAGGCTTTATTGTCCAGTGGAGTTTTCAAAAGAAACAGTGTGTGTTCCCTCCTACATGGAATTGTATCCTTAAAGACTGGCAAAGAGTGAAGAGCGTGTATTAGACCAAGCAAGCCTAGATTGCTTGGAGGGAATGAACTCCAGTGAAAGAAGGCTGTGTTAATTTAAACACTATCAGTGTTTCTTCATAGTAAATGAACTACTACCATTTTATTCTGAAGATAATTGCAGGAATAATCCTTGAGAATATCTTCATTTTTGTGGGTGGTGGGCAAGCTGTACAAGGAGCTAGAAGTTTTGGGTTCAAGCCATTAGCTCAAGAGGAGCATTTTGATCTGCTTTAGAGTGGTTCTGTTGGGTGTGTTTGCCTTGAGTGTTTACCACCTCTGTGTGATCTCCCAGGGAATGTTTCTGCAGGGTAGTGCCTGCTGTGGCTGTCCTCTTGACAAGAGTTCCTTCCAGAATCTGCTTACTCATAATATGTTAAGTGTGTGAAACTCTGCCACAGCCTTTCTTCTGTTCAGTGTGTTCTTTTTGCCTCCCTTCTGTCTCTAATCTTGATACTGTTTAATGCTGTAGCCTGCTGCTCTGGACACCTTTCTGACTGTAACAGGCTCCTCCTGTTTCTCATTGTCAGCTCTCTAGTGAATCTCAGAATTTATCTTAACATTTTCCAGACAGAGTGACAGAGGATATGAAGATATTTGCCTTTGTAGCTTACAATTTCAGAGAAACCTGTTATTTTTACCTTTATAACAGCTGAGCCTTAATGCAACATGTTTGTGGTTTGAAGTATGCATCCTCAGAAAGCATTACAAGTACATATTGCATTCTTTATTTGGAAGCATGCAAAATGTTTCTAAATTGAGTAGCAAACACTAATCATTTTTTGAAAAATACATTTAAATGTTTCTAGTAAGATAACATGAAATATTTCTAGCAATAAATTTATTCAAACTAGCCTTTAAATAGGTATAATGGAACCGGAGAGTGAACAGTTCTTAGAGAAATGGGGCAGACTTTTTTTTTTTTTTTTTTTTTCTGAATGAATTAACAGTGGTACAACGGTATAGCTACAGGCCTTTTAAAGGAGAAGTCATCTTGATTTCAGATTAGCCTGATGTACTTTAACTTTTAATTTGACCTTGGACTTCTGCTAACCCTTTACTTGAATTTCAGGTACAGGTTATAACCTTTCTTGAAACTTAGAGATTTCCAAGTAGGAGTACATATCTGAATAGATATAGCTAAATGCTGTTTCACAGATGATGTCATAGTTTACAGTAGACTTGTGATAAGTAATAAAAACTTAGTGTTTTATTTCAGTCTCAAGAATGTGACATATGGGATGTTTAAGTGCCTGCAATCTCTCGAGCCATTGAACAAATCGTACGCAGTTGTTAATTTTTTGTAATCTGACCAAAAGTTACATGTGTGGGCACCTGAATGCAGACAGAATACTAAGCTTAGTTTATCACTTCTTATTGTTGCTTGTTTTTCTTTCTTCAAGAATTGTTATTGTTTGTAACTGTTACTTGAAATTCTGGTGTTTACCAGTGCTGCTGTGGGGGTTGTATGAAATTCAAGTAGCCGTTGATGTAAAATCCAGCTCTTTGTTTTAAGGAAGGCTTATGTGTGGCTGAGGTCTTCATGAGGGCCTTATGGTGAACATAGAGGCTCCCATCTGGAGCAAGTGTGACCTCATTGTATAAACAGAAGAGCATATATCTTCACGTGATTTTACTAAATTATAAATCCCAGAAATCTGTCTTACTCTGCAGCTGTTGCCATAGCCCTTAAAAAGGTGATGTTCATATCTCATCTTCCCATCTGCTTCTCTGGAAGTAGGTGGGATTACATAGCTCTGACCTCTCTCATGGGCCCAGCATGGCAAGAGAACCTCAGAGAGCTGTGGTTTGGGCATGGCTTCTGTATGACTCTGCTGAAGCTGGGTCCATCTTTCCCCAGAGGAGCATCAAGAAGAGCAGTGATGCAGCTGCCAGTTGCTCTGTTTGCTTCTAGCTTAGACTGGGCAACATACAGGTCTGCTTTCTGAAAAGTGTTTAGTTACTTCAGATAAACTCCTCAGAAGCCCTTAGAGAAAACCCTAGGCAAAATTTAGATGCATCTGTCAAGTGAGTGTTCAACAGACCCCTGTTGAGACAATTAAGAGGGAACAGACATTTAAGTCTTTGCCCAGTAAGATACCTCGCCACCTAGTATTCACCTAGTGAACATCTCTGTATTAATTTTGTCTCTTGACTGTGTCTGTATTAGGGATTCACAAATTATGTAGCTGGATGTCTCTTTTCTATTCAAGCTTGCTCCTTTGCAATCAAAAACGATGAGCAAGAGAGATCCCAACCTGGTGAACTGATCAAAGTTTTGATCGCTCTTCCCAAAGTACTTCTGTAGCTTGTTAAGTGGTTGCAATGGAAAAAAAAGACATCACCTGAAAGTCTGCAGTGGGAATTAAAAAACATAATTTGAAACATGTTTCAGTGGAAATGGGATGTTTTTTGAACTGCTTAGTCAAAAAGAGAATCCAAAGAGGTTTCTCTTCTGAGATTTTACCTACTCCATTTTTATGAGCTACCAGAAGTTTTCAGGATTGAAATAGAAGTGAAAAGAACTACTTGCATTTTGACTGTATGCTACAAACTTTGTTTTTTCCTTAACTGCTTATTTTCTTCAGATGGGTGTTCTACACTATTTGGAAGAAATAAGCAGACATCTGAACATCAAGATTATCTGCGATTCTCCTGAGTGCACATGCCGCATGGAGCGTATAGGCCTGCCACGTGCTGTGTATTGGCATACTCAACCTTTTAAATTATATGCTGTAGATGATCCTGAAACTTAGTCATGCTATTGATTTTGAATTCTTTAAATGTTTTTTATTATTATTTTAATTTAAAGGCAAATAGAAAATGTATATTTTGATGAGCTAGGGTGTTATTTTTTGAAAGTCAACTTAAAGATGAATAAGCAGCAAAACTATATAGCTGATGAATGCACTGAACCTTTAGAATGTGATCCTTTTTATTTTCTAGATCTTCACAGACTGGTTGATTTAAGACATCTTTAGGATTTTATCCCTGAAGAGTGGTTCAGGGAGTTTGTTTTGGTGGTTTCTTTGGTTTTCTCATCATTTTTTTTTTTTTTTAATCTATGGTCCTTTTTAAGGATGGAGGGGGTTTTGTATAATTTTAAGTGAATACCACAGTGCTTCCATATAGAAAGGGGCATAACTTAAAAAAAAAAAAAGGGGAAAAGGAAAAAAAAAAACCTGAAAGAATACCCCAAATCCTCCATGGCAAAGGGAAAAAAGCTAGTCTAAATGTTATTTACTCTAGTTTCAATCATCATTGCTGTAGTCTCTTCTGCAGGAGGAGAATCTTTTGATCTTTCATCTTGTGGAATTCTTTAGCTGCTACTATACTGATGGTCTGGATTTTGATAAGGATGTAACATTAGGTTATACTTCACTTCAGACTCCATCAACATGAAAATTAAAGCTGGTTTTCCATCCCACCACAGTGCAAGAGGTTGAGTGTAATGAGGTTCTTGTGGGCATACATTCTTCAACCTTAAGGGAAGCAGTAGGTTCATGAAGAAAGAAAGGTTGCTTTAGAGGGCAAAGAAATATGGGTGTGGTCTAGAGTCATGTGCACCCATACTTAGTGTTTTGAGGCAAGTATACTTCAGTATGGTAAGTCCTGGTCATATTGCTGCAGTTGACCATGTTGTGTGGGGCTCTTGCTGAATTAGATCCACTTGCAGAGTAAAAATTGGTGGAAGCTAGGTTGTGTTGTGGTTTTGTATTAAAAGATAAAGCATTTTTCTTTAATGCCCAAAAAGTTATATTTTTTTAATAATGTCTTATGTGTTGTCTAAAACTTTGCTTTTGGTGTTTAAAAGATCCCACTTGAAAGGAGGTAGGAAGGATATAACCGTTCTGGGCATTTCTATTCATTTCCAAGGTAGAATAAAAAATACGCTATTTCCCTAAACACTCTAATCCTGAATCAGAATGATGTTTTTTCCTTCAACACCTAGTACCAACTCTTGCTTAGTTTTATTGGAGGGAGTTGATTCCCCCTCTCAAGATACTGTTAATGAAAACAAAACAAAGCAGCAGCACCCTGAAGATCTGTATTCTGAAATGATACGTAAAGAAGTATTTTGCTGTCCCACACACTGTTTGTGTTATCTTAGTAGCTTGTACCATTCCAGAGTGATACTGGAAAACTTGCAAAAATTTGCTCTTTGTTTGCTGTATAATTATTTTTGTATTGTACAGTTGTGCTGTTAAAATGCTTTCAGTTTGGAGAGCAAATAGAAGTATTCTTCAGTCTTGCTGCAATAATTCAAAGCAGTGTTAATTCTTTAGTATATGTTGAGAACAGTTCTTCCATGGCCTACAGCTTGTGCATCCCTAAGTACTCCCAAAGAACAGAGCCTCCCTCTAAACAGGAGGAGAGAAAAGTGTCTTGCATTTCCCTGAGTGTTTTAGCTCTGTATACAGAAAATACCTTGATATTATTGCCTATAACCTAGTAGGGACCCTTCATTTATGATACAGGACTGCAATCAGTATATCCTACAGCTGCAAATGAATGCAGATATCCTATAAACAGTTACGTGTATCCTTAACTTTGCAAGCATGAATATTCCCATTGATTCTTAGTGTGATTGCCCATGTGGGTGAAATTAAGCACACAGCCATTCACTGGGACAGGGCTTACAGCATATGTTTCTGAGTGAGCTCGATAGGTGTAGAAATCAGTCACAGCAAGTAGGGGTGGGTTTTTTTAGCAGAGAAACTTGTGAACTGGAACAGGATGTAATATGTTTGCTGGCTTGCTGTAGCAAAGCTTGCATTGCTGAACAAGGTTGCCTGAGCACAGAGATGCTGGGTGTGCAGGGATGTTCTGTGATCAGTTCCTGGAATGACCAGGGGACCTGAAATACATATTGATAGGTGAGAGGCAGCATTGCTTGTAAATCTTTCCTTTTCAGATGATACAGTATAAAGAGAGTTGGAGGAGTTATTTTTTTTTTTTTAACTTTTTTTAACGTAGGTTTTTAAAAGTTATAGATGCAGTATAAAGCAATTCAGCAATCACTGAACATTATATTTTTTTAAGTTGCTGAATTGATTCTGAGCAAATATATACACGCTGTCCGTTTTTATTTATTTGTTGCTGTAGTGTAGATTTTTTTAAAAAGGAAAACAAGTCTTTGTAGTAGAATTTTCAAACGCAAACTGCTGTAGTTGATCAGTTTTCCATGTTTAAGGCCAGTTGGGAAATAGTTATGACTGCTACACTCTGTATGCAAACAGTTACCAAAATATGGTTAACAAGTTTTCTGAATTATTCTTTGCACTACATGCTGCTTCCACCTAGAAATGTGATCTTAGTATTCAAAAACTTGATTGATAGTAGTTTGTGCAAAGAGAAGACTGCTGGCATTGTATCTACTGTATCAGTGCAGTCCACGTGTTGAAATAAAGGTACACTATCATTACTCGTGTGTTTGAATTGGTAAATACACTGTGGAGTCAATATGACAGACTTGAAGGGTATTATGTTTAGTGTTGTACCTCTTCTTAATTTCCTTGTCAGCTAACAAAGGTACTGAATGGTCTCTTTGTTGACTCTCTCTTCTGTCTCTGTTTAATAATAAATTCACTTATTTTCCATATAACATGCTCAGATAAGGCAACACAGTATGGAGGAACACACTGATGTTTGCAATGGGGAGGATCCCTTGAGGCTTTGGTGATCTTTACCTAGAAAGTTATTTTTCTGTAGGGTACTCTAGATGTGAATTCTTTGGAGTTCTGTAAGGGAAGTTTTCATTTTTTTCTGCTGAAATGACAAGCTGACTTTGGGTGACAGTGTGACTCATTGTGTGCATAGAGGGAAGATAGGCCTGGGAGAAGTAAGACATTAAAAATGATGCTGGCTTTGGCACAGAAGTTTAAGGAAGAAGAAGGGAATGAACAGGATGGGCATATTGAAGAAGTTACTCTGGGATGTGATTCAGAAAGATTACCGTCAGAAAAAAGAAAAGAATAATGTGACTTCTAAAAGAGGTTGTAGGGAGATTAGCCTAAATTCTAGCTAACTGGAAAAGTTTTTTTGCATCTGTCCTAAGTAGAGTGATAGCAAAGGGCTTGATAGTTGGGAAAAAGAAAGGGGGATATCTTAACTTCTTGAGTAAGAAAAAGTCTCACATACAGACTTTGAGGGTAGGCTAAAGAGTAATTTTAATGCATGACAAGGAAGACAAGTATCTCTTGCTTGTTCTATTTTCACTGTTTAGAGTTTGAGGTGTTGACAGCTTGCTTGAGGGGACAAAGTGAGAAGACAAGTGAGAAGTACCCAATTTCTTATTTTAATTTAGGAATAGGAGAATGCAGATAATGTTGCCTGAGGGTAATAGGAGGAAGCTGACAAACCTTGCCCACAGAGGAGAAAGTAGTTGAAATCATTAAAAGATATGCTGAAGGAGCAAGTGAGGGAAGTAGGAAATGAAATAAGTGCAGGAGTAGTGGAATGATAGAACTGCACAAGACAGAAATGCTTTACTGAAATGTGGGGTGCTTTAGGAAGCAGCAAGTTCATGTGAAATGAGAATGGTGGAAGGGTGTAAAGTGAAGCAGTTCATATGGTACTCATACATTTTAGTGAACTTGAGCTCCAGAGGTAAAGATGGAGAAAGTACCAAGGAAGGAAAGAAGGTGAAACGCACGTAACTGGAAGCATAATGAGAAGTACTCCTGTGCAGCCTCAAGGGAAGGGGGATGCAGGAGCAGGAACACTTAAGATGAGAAGGAATGGGGGACTCAGGAGGAGGGGCCAGAAACAAGACATCAGAACAGATGCAGTTGGGATTTGGGAAGCACACCTTTTTTGTTCTGGTCACTGACAATATTATCTAACACTTGCTTATTTAACCTTTCTTTAGTTAATTGTCAGAACTTATGGCTTTGCTTTTGGAAAACTATTTTACTCTATGCCTCATTCAAATTCTGCTCTTAAGCTTCACACTGGGACAGCCTGGGAAATACTTCCTGAAGATGGGCATCTCTCGTAACACTTCAGTGTTTTCAGTGATGTTTTATGACCACTGGTTAGTTATTTTGGGTGTTTGGATGAATAAGGTATTTTTCAGGCAACAGGTTCTTCACAGTCGATTGTTTAAAACCCTAGTGAAGACTGACAGGAAATTGATGTATGTTCCTTTAATTTTTCTATTTTTAAAAAGGATAGCATTGAAATTTTTACCTGTGTTGTGCAGTAAAAAGTTTCTACTGCCATTATAAAATTCTAACCATATTTGTAATGGTTAAATACTAGAAAGAGGGAAGATACCTGCTCACAGTATCTAGAGTTGGGTTTGAGACAGCAGTGTGTATTAAGAAGTTACAGTCTAGATGCACTTACAGAATCATAGAATAATTCAGGTTGGAAATTACCTTTAAGATCATCAAGTCCAACCATAAACCTACCATTACGCGGTCCACCATTGAACCATGTCCCTAAGTACCATGTCCACATCTATTAAATACCTCCTGGTGTGGTGATTCCACCACTTTCCTGGCTAGCCTGTTCAATGCTTCACAACCCTTTTAGTAAGAAAACTTTTTTTGAACATCCAATCTAAACCACCTCTGGCACAACTTGTCACTTCCTCTTGCCTTATTATTTACCCCTCTCTATGTTCCGAAAGTCATGGCAGTCTGGTGAA